TTACTCATTTCTCTTCAGTTTGCAATGAACGTTTTGTTTCCTCGCAATTGTTCTCCGTCACGCTTATTAGTATGGGGAAGGCTAAACCGAGTTTAGCATTCATTAACATGCCTCTATAATCGAACAATGATAAATGATGTTCTCACAAAAACCTGAAATGGGCCGTTTTTGTTCTGTCTGCAGTTAGCACGAATGAATACCTAACAGTTAAACTTGAGGTTTCTCTCTTATTTGTTTTAAACATGATAAAAGAGTGTAATACCATTATTATGTTATCATAAACTTGCATCTATTATTTAAATATTTTTACTGGAAAGAATAGCAGAAGACAAGTTCTTTTTTTGGGATGGGGGAGATGTGAAATAAGCTCGAAGAACTTATCATGCATCAGAACAACACTGACTAGAAGTGATAACACGTGCATATTAATTTATTTATAATCTGCTTGTTTTAAATTACTTTAGCTAGTGCCTTGAATGGAAGGAGGCCTTCTTGTAAACTTGTCTAAATGACAATTGGCTCGTACTGTCCATGTGAAAACTAAGAACATGCCCCTAGCCATTCGCTATGTTTCGACCCCAGCTCGATGCACCAGTATTCGAGGCTTAACTACTTGGTGGGTCGACAAATCGTTGAGCAATGGTAGTCGACAAGTCGTTGAACACTGGTAGTTCGATTCGAGTTCCGGCGAATGGGTTAGTTGCAAGGGCGTTTTCGTGGTTTTCCCTATAAGTAACGTGGATACAAGCCATTTTCCCTTAGAATGTTCTCTGCGAAGGCATCCCTCTTTAGGAAGATTGTCCTCGGATACTATGCCATAATCAAATAAAACGAAACCGAATCTGAACCACTGGCCGCTCATTTGTGGGAAGGTCTTTTCTGCTCAGACGATAATGAAACTGAAAATCAGAAAAGACTAACAAATGCGATATTGCCAAACATTCTCAGGATTATATACAAAAAATAGTGCAAATTATTAAGAATGGAAATTACACGCATTTGAAAAACAACGTGTATCTATAAATGCAATATCTTCATTTCTAATAGAAGAAATCTAAAGGATAACACTAGAAGAATAATTTTGGCTTACTGAGGAAAACATTTATGATTTGCCGCCCAAACGGTATAGTGGTTGGGGGCAGCCTATTGCGGTACCAAAGGGCCCGGGTTCGAAACCCGAAGAAGACATAGATGTTTGTAAATGTGTAGTGTCTTTGGAAAAAAAAATTGTGAAAGAATCACTTATAATCTATTCAGTAATGATCTCCGAAACGAATTTAAATTCATCAAGCTGGATAATTTATGAAGAGACGAAGAAACGATGTACAAGCACTGTAATGTTCATTTTTCAAAGCAACACTGACAGCAGTTAACAACTATGTAGAATGAAGACATATAAGGGTACTGAGAAAATTCAATTCAATTTGTAATGTCAAGTCAAGCTTGCGATATTCAGTTTGCAATACTCAAAGTTGTGAGTTTTTATTCGGATTCTATGAAAAATTATTTTAATTTCAATATTTTATGCAATAAAACAGTTTTTTCTACAGTTTAACACCATTTACGAAATTCATACATTTCACTTTCTTTTCACGTAATAATGATTAGCCTATTTATAAAGGTTCATACGTCTTGAAAAACGTTCATTCAAGCATAACAGTTAAAGCTTCTATTGATGTCTTAAATGCTACTTGGTATCTTAATTTGCACGAAATTCATTTGTTTCCGTTCGAAATAATGAGTTAAAAAGTACACTTTAATAGAATTTCTAATGTTAATCAAGAAGTAGCATAAATTCTTTCAGACTTCTAAGTTTCTGACATTGCTTCTTACTTTGCATTAATCGCTTTTTGTGTATGCTTTTTTGCTTTGTTCGGTGCCCTTATTTATTCGTAATTTATTTGTAATTTCTTAATATAATCTTTGTAATAAACCGATATACTGCCCATCTACTTTAATATTTCTTTTTAACATATTTCAGTAGCCTTTAATAGGGTAAATCTGCTACGTAAAGAAGCTAATCGCCTTAAGCTATTGTATCTTTCCTAAAGCGACCACTTCCACAAAACATTAAAAACATCTGGATCCATATGAAGGAATGTCTTAGAGAGGGTTCGCTATATTACAGAATTTTTCTCTTTAATGATTCGAAAGAAAGCTTAAAAGAAATTTTTCTGAGCTTGGATCCTGAGTAAAAATATGCATTATAATTCCAAATTCAATTAAAAAAAGCATTTACAATTATCAAAACACTTTATAAGATATTTTCTCCCTCCTTCCAGCACGCCTTCGTAGTGTAACGGTAGCACACTCGGCCGCGTATTCGGGATGTCTAGGTTCGAGTGCCGGCGACGGCATTGAACGTTTTCCCGCATCCTGCTTCAAGAAATCTAGTGACTCTACAAATTTATTATACAAGAAATACGAAAACACGATTTAATTAAAAGAAATGACTCAAAAGTGTCTTACATTAATTGTCTTTTCACCGCTTATGAAAAACATTCCGTTTAATTAGCGTAAAATTAGCAAAATGTGATCCCAATAAATAAAGATGAATAATAAAATTAGAACAGAAGATGAATGCATAGTACTTAAATTTTCTAGTTATTTACATTTATTTCGAAATATCGGAATTCAAGAAAAATTCCAAACATTCTTCGCAGCGGTGATAAATTTACAGTTTTCAGCATTTTCCTGTTCTGCACATTATTTTATTTCCAATGTCTGTGTTTTTGTTTATTTGACGTTCAAAGGACATCAGAGAATTAATGCTCATTTACTGTAAGTCATGTTTTAAGGAAGTAGAAAATAATTATAAGTCATTAAGCGTACTCTCAAAGCTGGGGGAAACAGGTAAACTTGGGAAAGAACCTTGCGGTTTAATCGGGCAGACTCTCACTTTTCAAGGAAGAGGCAAGGTTAAATTAGTAGTCTGGATGCTGAAGTGAATTAAGTAAGGAAAAAAAAAACTTCCCAAACTGCAATATGCGATTTATAAAAACTACACGCGTAGTTTTTATGTGCCAATCTTGCCTTCCGGGTTAAAGCGTAGACTGAAATGAAACTGAAGTGAAATGAAAACTGCGCAGATGGAGAGCACAAAGGCAATTCATGAAGACTGTGGAAAATGTTCGTTGTTAACAGGTGTTCCGAACTATAAATTATTAATAATATTGCTTAAGATCTTTTTATGCTACTTGCGAAATATTACAGAATTCCTTTTGATTCTGAAAACAGAATTTTGTTGAACATTAGTTGTTCTGTTATATATCATTTAGTAGAAATCGGAGTCACGCCGAAATTATTAGCACTCGCGGCGGATCTAAAAAATAAGAAAAGGAGGAAATGTAAACTGTAATAAAATATAACAATAAACTGAAACGGTTTTAAACTATTCTAAGACCATCAGTTTTGAGATGTGCTTCAGGTGTTAATATATACCTGCGCGGCTTTCTTTAGAAGACACGTAATTGATTATGAGACTACTATGAGGAATACAATTTAATGCACCTTAATACTCAACAAATGTTAGATTTTCGAGTACAAAACAACACAAATAAACGTACAATGCAATGCTTATAGCAGATTCGATGGAACTCCTTGTTATTGCTTAAAGGTGTTCTAATATTTAATACAATGAACCTTTGCAAGGTGACCCTGTTCCTCAGACTCAGACGACAGTCTTTGAAAATGATAAGCATTTTTGAGACTATAAATTCAGTATTCAACATTACATCTTTAACTTAACAATTCCTACAAAAGACCAAGATTGTTTGCAGTTTTGATGTCTTAAAAAGGTTTTCCTGTAATTTTGCATACAAGGAAATGAAACAGTCTATTATAAAGTTTATTGCGACTTGATGCACAAAACTGGTAGCGGTAGTAACAACATTTGTAATTATTACTGTTTTATTATAGTGATATTTTCTAGAATATAAATATTTATGATGCACAGTGAACCCTGCGGCGATGACCGAAGATCAGTGCTGTACATCATTTCTCTAAAATGACCACCTCCACAGAAGACCAATATCGTTAATCTTTTTAAGACAGTGTTCAGTGTAACCTAAAGTGGAGAAAAATAATATAAACTTTTGTTAATATTAGCTGAAACAGATTCTTTAAATTTAAATGTGAATACTTTAAAATTATAATTTTAAATTTAGTTAATAAATTCCTTGTCCAACCTTAACTTTCAACACAGATAATTTCAATAATTCCGTATTTTGCAAAAAATGTTGATAAAATCTTATTTCTAAACACATAATACATATACATCCAGTTTATGCAGGAAATATTATATACTATCTTTAAATATTACAGATTACCTCATCAAAAATGCAGTTTTAAAATCAAAGAGCTTAAAATATTTCTGAAATTATTATTTTCATTTCTCATGTTTAATTATGCTTTAAAGAAACAGAAATTGAAATTAAATTCACTCACTGAAGAAAACTAATTAAATAAAATAATGAGGCAATTTTCTTTCCAAATCTTTTATTTAAGAACAATCAGAAACAAACTGTGAGCAAGTGCAATTGCTTTCTATCTCCTTTTATTTACATAAATAGGATTTTCCAACTTTTATCAAAATAATCCTGTGATGTCCTAACACACGGATTTTTCCAAATATAACAAACAACGCAGTATTAAAATTATGCTTGCTTTTGGATAGATACATAACTACTAGAGGCACATATTTTGAGAAGTCGCACATCATTCGTATTTCCTTTTCGGAAGCAGATGCGTTTGAGATGACAACAAAGGCACTATTTCAAGTAAAAAAAACTAATACAACAAATACGTTTGCATGTAAAAAACAAAAGGCAAACATAATTATTATAAATTGTGCTTAATTAGTTACACATAGTGTGCTTGAGCAAAAGTAAGAAATAAAGAGAAAGAAATAACAACACATTTTTAAAAACTTTGGAATCAACTGTATGCAAAGAAATATTTTAAAGTGTAAATACTTTATTTATGAAAAGTATCATTTATATTTATATTTAAATATGAAATAATTATAATAATATAATCGTATATAACTAAAACCATTTTATACTGAAAAACTAGTTAATTTAAAATTTATTTTTACAGTTTCTGGAAAAAAAACTATTAATTGAGAAACAGCAACAATTAATTATCGTTAATTTAAAAATAATTTATATGAATCGAACAGCAAAAAGTTATATTTCAATAATGTAAAAAATGGGTTTCCAAAATTTTTAAAACTGTCATTTATTTCTAACCCACGCTGCAGTTGCAAGAATTATTGTTTTTACTGAAAAAAAGATTTGTGTAAGTACAAAAAAATGCTGGACTGATGACTACAAATATGAGAAGTGCTTTGCATGCAGCATAATATGCTTGGCAGGAATGTACTTGATGGCACGGGATTGGTTGAATTCACTCAAATCAGGATACTGAAGCACATAATAAAGTAACGTTTTGCGAACTATATATAAATATGTATATATATATATATATAAATATATATATTTGACTAGCTTCTTAAACATTTACAACATAAAACACATATATACAAAACGAGTTGTTTTCTAATTCACAGAAGATATTATTTTTAATATTGAAATCTATCGACTCAAATAAACATGGCACAAAGAATTAAGTGCTAAGGCATATGGCATATTATATATAAATAATGCTTTCCGAAAATAAATCTCAAGCTCATATCAACAATAATTATTGCTTGTTTGATTTACAATAGCACATTACCTGAAATTTCTAGAAGATGACTAAAAGATTGTACAAGGAAAAGGCTTTTAACTAAAAATTAGAAAAGGACTTATTTGCTAAACAAAATATTGGAATATTTAATTATCAATGCAATTTAAACTCAGAAAAGTAATTTTAAAACATTCTGCACCAAATTTTTCTCTTTGAGGTATCTGTATTTCATTGAGCAAATATGACAGATGATTTTGTATAAGTATTACATATTAATTAAACATTTCAATTTGCGTGAAATAATTGAAATTCAAAAGGATTGCAGGTATTCCATATTAATTCTATTTTTTAATTGGAATCATTATAAAAGAGTTTTTAAAATAAAAGAGTTTTTGGATGTAATTCAAGAGTTGTGAAAATTAGTTATTAAAATTTGTATTAAGACAAACCTGAAAAATGAAATAAATATCCTTCAGCGGTCCTATAATTAATTCCCAGCATATTTCGCATTAACTTCAATTTTCTTCACAGGTAAAATTTTCGTTTAATATATTTTTTAATATAAAATTAATGGTTTTGAAATGAATACTATTTAAAATGGAAGGGTTCTTTAAACGTTAAAAGATACGAAAAAGAAAAGGTTTTACTTCAAACTTTCAGCTAACACAACCCTCATAAATCTCTCAGGATCGAATACGCGAAAGCATGGACTTTTAACAACTACTCACGAGAGAAAGAAAATCAAGAAAGAATGGTTTAAGATAAAACAATGGCTACCTTAAACTATTTGACGCCAGGTGAGAAGTTTCAAGTTAATTTTTCAATTTTATCTTTAAGTCGGCTGATTTAGGTCACTGTGCTCGGGAAGAAAGTTACAAGAGGGGAAAATGAAAACCTGCATTGCTGCAGGGAATCTTAATTAAAGAAAAGTCAAAGACAACAAGTCGGTGGCTGAACCTTGAACCACCTTCGTTGGAACATTCCTGGGCAACAGGTGCAAGGCAGATCGGTGACGCCTCCTGGACCACAAACAACACATCAACGACCTTCCGACGCTACTGGTGGCAGGAAAACTGGAACAGGTGGGTAGAGCAAGAGGATTAGCATACAGATAAATGCTTTATGGAAGACGGGCCTGGATGGCTGTCCTCTCGCTCCAAAGCATTCCCCCCCCCCTGCTGGGAAAACTTCGATTCATTTTAATACAATTTCTTTCCACTTTTCATGCTATTCATTATGAACGCGATTTGCTTTTATTTTAAAAAATAAAAATAAGCAGAAGCTCAACTTATGGGAAACTTAAGGTTTCCTTCAACAAACCTGATTACACAGAAAGCTGTTAAAGGCATTTTGTATCATTTTTAAAGGAAATTTGTATCTTACTTCTGCGTGAAAAGTTGAACTGGTATTTGATTCTGCTAATATAATTTAAAGTGCAGTATTGATTGGAGTACTGTAAAATGCATATAAGACAATGCGTTTTTCAAGGGAAAATAAAACAACTTGCATTTAAGATAAAAGTCGAAACAGTTTCATTAAAACTTAAATGCTCTAAAAATAACAGCCTTGTGGTAAAAAATAAGTATGTTTATTTTATTACGGAAATTAAATAATAGGATAAATTGATTTAAAACATTTTTTTAAATGCCTGGGCAATTTTTATTAAATTAATATGGTTTTTGGAAAAGCATTTTAAACAAAGTAAATTATATTCGTACTTATTTTTTTGCTTCTTTAGCTTAATATTAAAACAAAATTTTTTTAATGTAATTTTTCCTTGGAAATATGATTCAAACACAAAATGTTCAACACTTTTCTCTCATTTCTCATAGGCAGTACTTCATCTTGTTATATACTAACATGTATGCACTTGAAACACTGTTGACAATCGCCTACCAAAGAGTTAATTTAAAATTATAATAATATTAATTACATAATGCATTATCAAAATTTTACATATATTTAACATTTTTGATGAATTAAGTTGACATTTTTAAAGCTTAAACATTGAATCATTCTGCTGTCCATGAAAAAGTAATTTGGCTTGGAGAAACAAAAAATAAGGCTAACAGAATACTTAAATATGGCAGATTCAAATGCATTATTCTGAAATGTCTTCCTAATTCTAGCTATAAAGACTAGTAGTATCTCACATTTGATATAAACATAATTCTAACCATTCATTCAAACAAGCATGCATCATAAATTCTCGCACATTTTGAAATTTTCTTTTCAAAAACCTATTAAAAATAATTCACAATCTAAATGCTCTACAAAATGTGCAATATAATAAATCAAATCAATTTACATATAAATATATATTCCACTCAAAATAATAATAATAATAATAATAATAATAAACTAGTTATTCATTTGAAATGGAAATTAGTGGAAATTCACGTAATGGAAGAAAGAATTTAATTTTCATAGATAGGAATTTAGAAAATATATTATAATATTATTATGTAGAGATAGCATATGATTTAATATTGTTAAGAACTCGTTAGACTTTGATACCGATTTAAAGGTTTCGCAGCTTGCTCATTATAATTACATTTTTTAAATTATAAACAAGAATGGAGCAAATAGAAACAATTTACAAAACTTTTAGACTATCAAACAAGGATTTTACATCCATAACATTCCATTTCAAATACCAGTTACAAAATATGGGTGAATATTTTAATAATAAAAATTCCTTAATAGAGATTCTAGTTTCAAAGATAAACTGAACAATGATTACTACAATCACTTGGCATGCATTTTTCATTCTATATTTCATGGAGTCTCTTTAATTGGCAGGCGTTTGCTGTTGAGGCACAACACCCGCGCAACCACCGTCTTCGTGCTTGAGCAATAAGGACATTCTAGAGAAGGTTTTGCTACACGTCTTGCATCTGTATTTCTTGACTTCTGAATGTGTCTGAAGGTGAGCCCTGAGGTTAGACCTGTCCGCGAATGCCCTGCTACAATGTTGACACGAGAAAGGTTTCTCGCCCGTGTGGGTGCGAATATGCCCTTGTAACAGCCAAGGACGAGAAAAGGCCTTTCCGCACAGTTTGCATTTACAAGGCAAAGTGTGCGTCCTGATATGCATCTTAAGGGCTCCTAAAGATACGTAAACTTTGTCACAGTATTTGCAACAGAAAGATTTCTTGGCATGTGTGGCGCAATGCATCAACCGATGCTTAGATAGTCCACTGTAAGTAGAATAGCTTTTATTACAGTCCGGACATTGGTAGCGGGTAGGGTTCGCTTTTGATATCATCTCACCGTCTTCAGAACTGGGACTGGGCGAAGATGCAAGTCCAGAATCTTGTCCATCGGAATACCAGCCGAGATAAACAGATGGAGGCGACGGACTACCTGACGCAAGCATAGTTGGGGACACATTCCTATGTGGTACAACCTCGTATCTTTCTCTAGAAGGAGAATATCTATCGGAATTGGCAGACGCTGAACTTAAAGGCACTAGTGGTGGAGGCACTAAGGTATTCTGACTGTGAGTGTAACCACTGTTATAAGGATAGACTTCAGTTGGCCTTCGAGGATATGAGTAAATTGGGTAGTTTAATGGAAGATACGATTGCATCATTTGCCGCTGCCAATGGGGTCTGGTAGCAGCCATTTCCTCTGCTGTCTTTGGAGTCGGCTTTATTGGTTTAGGTGCAATGATTGTTGCTGGAGGATGAGGAGAATGGTCCACCGTTGGCTTGGGAGACACACGTAGCATTTCACTATCACTGGAATTTTCGTCAAGCGTTTTCGGTTTCATACTTAAGTCAAAAGGGCCTTTCGTATCTGAAAAGGAAATTATATGATCAATGAGAATAAATTATTATAATTAAGAATAATGCATTTTTCAAAAAGAAAAATTGAATATGTTAGTAGCCTCAGTAATAACAATACTTAAAATTGCAGCACACATAATATTTCTCAGACGTATATATTTCAAATTAAAAACAATAACACCTATAGCGACCGCTTCTCCAAAAGAAACATTTCTAAAAGAGATCAGTATTTCTCATAGCATAAATAGAACATCGTACTGAACACATTAAGGCGACCATCTTCAGAAAAGATTAAAATGATATGGAACTATGAATAGAGATATTTCATAGTATTAACTTTCCGCCGCTTTCTCCAGTAGAGATGCCAACCCTCGGATGTATCATTTAAGAGAATTATATTTTGAATCAATACAGCTTATGGAAAAATAAACATAAGTGTAATTAGGAAATTGTTAAATTCGTAAAATACCATTTAAAAAAAAAATATTTCATTCAGTAAAAAATTTATGCGAAGAAGTTTTAACTTCTTGAGTAGAAGCAGTATCAAGTTTTCTCAAAAGAAAAAGTATAACTTCCGTTTTGCATTTAAAATTTGAGTCATCATCATCATCTGGAACACAAGGAGTTTTTAAGCTGTTTTTGCAAATTTTGAAGGGAAAATTAAAATACTGTTCGCCAATCTCACTGCTTCAGCAAATTTGGAAAGTTTAAGCTTTTACGAAGTTTATGTCTCAGCCACTGTATGTCCAGTGAAAGAGAGAAACTGCTTAGCTGTGTACCGTGAAACCTTTCATGGAGATCATCTATCGAAATGATAAATATTTCTTCACATATATAGGTAATGAATTTCAATTTCCTAAGGCGACTACCTGCACAAAAGATCAAAAATCATCTCGAAATTAAGTTAGTTCATTTTAGGAAGATTTCACGTCATTATTCTTATTAATATCTATAAAACATTGTTATTGTTTTCAAATAAAAGAATTAAAACACCATTCCCGACGAAACAAGCAAAAAGTAAACAAAGTGACAGTAACTAAGGATCCCACCACCTGTCGCCCGAGTCATACTTCAAGGTCATGCAACCAGAGGAGAAGAACTAAAAAAGGTAGCCCGCCTGCTACACTCTTTCCTGGCTTTTCAGTCAGTGGAGCAGGAAGCCAAAGGGCTCCCCATTTCCCAAGGTGTGGTTCATTCACTTGACCCCTGTTTCCTTCGATTTTTCAACACCTTGAGACCTCTCAGAGGTCATGCTTTTTAAGGAGACTGCGGTGGCATCGCGAGCGACAGAAGCACCTGATCTCGACGGAAACGCGCTTCCGCCGACCTGAAGGAAGTCTACAACAATGATGTTGACTGTACCCTCATCCCTCTGCAGCTTCTCGTAGACACTGCAGTGAGATATGGGAAAGCAAGTTCACTATACAGGTGGTCTTATTCTGAAGGAATGTTCCATGCCTATGCCACACATCGACTACATATCCGGTACAAAAAAGAATTTAAATTTTTACCCTCATAGTTATAAATTAAGATAAGAATGTGGATCAGTTAAATAACTTATAGCTACAATACTTAAAGCCTGATGAAGATAAAAATATAATTATACATATTAAAGAAGGAAAACATTAAGCTTGACAAATATAATCTGCGCTTAATAAATGTAAAAATAAATAAATATGAGACGCCAACAGTTTTTTGACCCACTTTAAACGGAGAACTGTGCAGAAAATAATTATAAAACGTTAAAATTCGATAAATTAAAAGACATCGAAGATTCTTTCTGATTAGCAGCAACTAAGCAACTATCCGAATTTGCAGATGTCTTCTTTCCCCCCCCTTTGGTCTTTTTTCCTTTTCTTTTTCTTTTTAGTCCAAAGGGGTTTGAATCCCGAAGGACTATTAGTTTCGTTTTGGCATTTTGCGTCGGACTCATAAATGTCGGTTCACTTTTCAAACTGTTGCCACAAAATGTTAGAGTCCCTGCATTATATTTGAAGAAATTAAATAATGAAAAATCTGCATGAATGTATGTATATTTCTCGTATTGTGATAAAACAACGGTACATAGAGTCATCGAATTTTGAATAACGTAATCCTCCAACGAATATGAGCATGTGGAAGACCAAATTTGAAATTTGTTTTATGATCGATTTCCTATTTTTTAAAACTTTGACGAATTTTTGATTAACAAACTCAAGGATTTCAAAGTGAGCAATGGCAACGTTGTGCAGAAAAAACATTTTTATCTCCAGCGCGTTAGTCTCTGTATCGGAAATTCTAAAGATATGCTCGTTTTAAAACTATTTTGCGATATTGCTGTTGCACTGGATCTTATGGTTTAAGTGCGAGGAACATGATATTTAATAAAGAAAGGTAACACACAAAATGTTAAAAAACGCCCCTTTGGACGTAATTTAAAATCTGAAACATTTCAGATTTTGTTTTTATTTATTTATTTATTTTTTTACGCCGCTGAATAAATTTACGCATAATTACCTTATTGACAGCAATATGAAACACTGTTTTCTTCTATAAAATGTCCTTTTGAAATTAATTTTCCCTCTCATGCGCATATTAAAAATTTTTAATACATTTATTAAAATTCTTATGACGATAATTCATCACATAAATCTTAAATTAAAAGGAACTACATTCATGTAATTAAAACATAAAGTAAAATATTTGAGTGATTTAATAACCTTGTAAGGTGTGAAGTATTGTTCCACCCAAGAATCTTGAAAAATTAACAGTGTTCTCATCGTGAATCGAACCCAACACCTTCGAATAGTAAACTGTGTTGATCCCTACACCATAAGAATACGTAGAAGAAATGCTTTTAATTCTTTAACAATCTTTCTTGTGAGGAGTTTGCTATATAAAGGCATTTTAAAACTTTTTTTCTCTCATAAAATATTTTCAGGATAAGTTTCAAACCTTGAGTCTAACTAATGCGTTTATGCCATGGAGGCTTATTAAATTACTTGATGGTAAAGTAAAAAATACCCATAGAAACATGAGATATTAAAAATTCTATTGAGCTTAATCCGCAAATGTAAAGGAATGGTCCTTGATTAATGAAAAACTATGACTAGAAAATTCGCTTTCAAGAAACAATATACAAAAAATAAATACAGCAAACCGTCTTGTGACTACTTCCTAAAGATAATCATTGCTGAAAGTAACTTATATACTTGCTTTTAGAAATGAAATTGACTGATTCTATCACTCTTCATTGAAGCTCTTAAATCTAATCGAAATGCTAATCTGTTACGAGATCTCATGTTACCAAAAATGAAAAGATTAGGATTTGGATTCCAGTAGCACCCAAATTACATCTGTTACAATAGCAAAATAAATACTGACATTTACTAATCAGAAATAATTATTATAATTGCAAGTAACTGAGACAACACATTTTATAAGCTATTTTCTCCCTCCTCTCTGCATGCTTTCGTGGTGTAACGGTAGCATATTCGACGCGTATTCGAGAGGTTCAGGTTCGAGACCCTGCGAAGGCACTGCTCATTTTTCACGTCTCCAGCATCAAGATAACCTAACAGAATCTATACAACTTAAGGATTATTTAATTTACTGAACAATCCGTAGAGACATTAGGCTAGTTTAGCAGGAGACATGAAAAATAAGCAATGCCGTCGCCGGGACTCGAACCTGTACCTCTCGAATATGCGCCGAGTGTGCTACCGTTACACCACGAAGGCCGCAGAAAGGAGAGAGGAAAGAGCTTATTTACTCCCCTTTTTAAAGGCTGACTGGAGATAAGGGGGTCCAATCGCCAAATTCTGGTGGTGACTAATTCTCGTCCACTACCTTTTAATTCGGGCACCACCTGTACAATCATTAGAATTTTTCGATGCAAGGAAACTGAAGAAATCCTAAGTCCTCTCCCCGTGACTCGAACCCTTGACATCTGGAAGACGCGTCGAGTATGCTTCTAATTACACCACGAGGGCATGCGGAAAGGAGGGAGAAAATACCTTATAAATCTAAAGCTATTTATTAAACTGTATTTAATAACTAAAAGAAGTAAGGAAGGAAATTCTTCGTATTTTATTTATTAATATTTTTCAGTTATGGAATTCGTTCTTCAAATATTAAATAACGGGCTTATAGTTATTCATCATGTGACTTCTACGTAATTAATATAATTTTTTTGACATTATTATATATCATACTTTTTATTAGTCACATAATTAATAATCTAATGCAAATGAGTTATTTTTTCTTTCATAATGCATGTAAATTTTAAATATCACAGTGTAAATGTAAGTTTAGAATCTTATGCTTTCATAGCATTATAAACATCTCCATATTTTCAATGCTTTCTTTTCCAGAATAAATATTTATCCCATGTTAGCAAATCTTCCATTCATTTATTTAATACTTTCCATCTTGTTATACATACTTTTCGTAAAACAGTTTTACGTTTTTTGAATTTGAATGTTTTAACTACGTCACCATCACCACGTGGAGTGGTCACCATGCCTTTTAACGTAAGATCTGAATCTCTGGTTATTTGAAATAATTATAGCGAACTCTCTCGAGACTATGCCTCCCTTCCAAACATGAATGACGACGTCTGAAAATATTAAATATTTCTGAAAACATAAATAAACACCGGCAAATAGCTAATGCCCCTACTCCCGCGGAAGACCAAAATCATCTGCAACCGGAAGTTGTCTACAGGTCGTATTACACATTCAAAACATTTCGGAAGAACAATTCTTTAGTATAATTCTTCTGTATATGTCTATATATTTTTCTTTAGTATAATTTAATTATAATGTTTAATAATTAATTAAAAATTGCTTGAAACAGTTGTTCATCCGAAACAAATGGATGTGATACAGCCTTAGGAAGGATTATAAAATAATACTATTTTAATGTACTATTTAAGTTCTCGATAAAAGATACGATTTCTGGAATTTTGCCTTATTTTATCTTTATTTTTCTTGATCTACATTGTCAGCTCTCAAGTTTAGTAAAAAAAACTTATAATTGTATTTAATCTCACAGATTACAATAATTAACCGTCTTATAGCCACTGAAAATGATTATTCCTATGATATTCAAAGTTAAATGCCATATACTGAAGAGTTTGTGACTTCATGGTAAAGATATCGTTTGTATAAATTTACTGAAATATTTCAAACATTCAAATTACAAATCATTCAAACATTCATTACAATCTTTAAAGTTAACTCTTTTTTAATAAAATTAGTGTGTCTTACGATTTTTTTTTTAATTTGCACGATTTTTTTTAAATGATGCCAAACCTAAAAATGCCCTCGATTAGGCTTGGGATATATAATATATGCCATTTTCCAATATATATAAATAATAAGCTTCTGCACTGAAGCCCTCTTTAAACCAGAGCCGCTTTATGAATGCATCTTGAAAATAAAAGTTTTAACCTTCGATTCAAAAATAAAAATTGAGTTATTAAATGGGTTTTGGGAAGTTTTAAACAACTTGCTTGAGCAAGTTGTTTAAAACTAATATTTTGAAATTTTGAAATAGGTTCTGAATTTAAGTAACACCAGAAATGCAATGAGCATTAACTACTATATTTACCTATTTTATTATTCAGTCTATAGTTCAATTTAAAATTACTTATTTTATTAAATCATTTAATCCCCAATTCGAAAGTTCAATAATTTTCGTTTTCTTAAAAAGGATGAAAATAAAGTGATAAAATTACGAACTGCACCATTTTACTTTTCATGCATTCATTTACATTTGAAAACAAATGGCATTACTTGGTTTGCATTTTTATCCAATATTTTATTCTGCTAATTCATTTCTGAATAAATACTATTTCATATTAGTTAATGAAATAGCTTATTTTCTGCTGTAATTATTAAGCCACAGTCTATCTGCTGTAGACTATCTGCTCAAACTACTCTTGCGACTTAATTCTGTTTCAAATCTACAGAAATCTAAAAATAAATTTTAAGAACAATAAACTAATTATTTTAGAAATATACAGCTACCAGCTATTTAATTCAAGCACTAGAAAAATAAACGCATCTAAAAATGAAAATTGTTCTCTGTTGACACCTGCCATTCAACCCTTGCAATGCCAACGCTACTGAGAATGTTGCTTTTCTGCATATCAACAAGAAAGATACGAAAGCCCAATTTACTTTGTCTACATCTAGAGAAGTTTTTAAAGAACTTCATCAGAAATATATGTATTTTTGAAAACATTCATTAATTTTTTAACTAATTGCTGAAAACATCAATAAATAAAGCTGCTTTAATACTAGATAAAAACTCCCTTCGCTAGAACAGTATTAAGAAAGAGCCTCATGATTTACATTAAAGCAGTTCCGTTTTTGAATGTTTTCTTTCTGAACATTTCTGAACTTTTTATTTACAATTTGCGTCAACACGTCATATTTGTTAATAATAATACATGCAATATTTCTCTAAATTTAATGTTAAGTATAAAACTTCAAATTATCCCCTTTTATTTATTGTTTACATGAATTAGCATTTCTGAAAATATAACCCATTCAAACACTTCCTTTTTTTTGACGATGTATTCAATAAAAACTTGGTATTAAATTAAATTATGAATGAAAATGAATGATCTAATAATCAAACGTACCATTAAATATTAAAAAAATTTTAACATAGCTTTTATTTTCATAATGCAAAAAAAATACCATAAATGGAAATTATTTCTTTTTTCATTTATTATTATTATTATTATTATTAACGTTTTATTAATATTACAAAAAATAACAGAATTTTTACAGGAAATTTTAGTGCCTATTTAAAAATTATGAAAAGGATTTAGAGTTTAAACTAACATTTCTTAAAAAAAAACCGCTACAATATATTTATATAAGGAAGCAGTTAAATGTTTTAAATTCCAACTGGCAAAAAAGCTAACACGTAAAGACTTAAATTAAACAATCCAATATCATTTAAGCTTGTGGAACTTAATTCTAAATATTCAGAAAATTTTTCAAAAGATGAATTTGAATATTTAGAATTTGATAGATCCAAACTTAATGAGCATAAAATCATATTTTTCATTTTTTAAATATTAGTCTTTAAGTAGAATTGCTAAAAATTATCTTAAAAATTTTCCATTGGATTAATTTTGAAAATATTTTAAATTATTATTTTTGCATTATGGATATTCGAATATTCATTAAAAATATGAAAATAGAACGAATTAAAGTAAAATCTGCTATAAACTGATTTTAACATTAATATTTTTTACGTACAATATCTTATAGAATTTATAATTAATATTACGAAATGTAATAAATGAAGAATTTTCTTTTGCAAGCCGAAAGTAATAAATTATTAAAAATGTTTGATTTTCCATTCTTTGTTTGATAATATCTCAAGAAAAATTTCGCAGTTAGATCACATATTCCTTTGGATTTGAGATCTCTCTAACAAATATCTGAAGAAAATTACTAATTACCTGTTGACACAACGGTAAGAGGTACAAACTGAGGTTGGAAGCTCGAATTATCCATAATGCCAGCATCATTAGTATCTTCATCTGACCAATTCGCCCTGGACAGAGGTATTCCACTCCGGGCACACTGCTGTTTCTTTTTGATGAGGAAAGCACGCGGCATGGTGCTACACGGCGGAGACGATCAAAGTGATTACAATTCGCACGACACAGAGCACGTGAATTACATTCGGGTTGGGAACACAGTTAATCGACCGTGTTTCTTATCAAACTCGCTTCGGGCGCTTTCTGAGCCTGCAACTTCTCATTCAGCCACTTTTCAAGGCTCCTTCTGGGCAGGTGGACATTTCCACCAATAGAAAGCGAGGGGTTCGGAAGTTCCCCCTGCCATTTTTTTTACCTCCCCTCTTTCAAGAGGAGGTGATGGGGATGGGAAGGGGAGGAGGAGAGATTTCGCGGTGTCATCTGGCTTCAACGAGCGTGAGTAAATGAGGCGGGGGGACGGCACCAGTGGCACGTGCGCCTGATAGACCCTCGCCAGTCGGATACAGGTGTCTCGGTGCCCTTCCTTTCTGTCTTTGGGCTGACGTCGAAGTTTCGATTTTGTTTATTTCATTTTTATTGTCTTCGTTTTATTATTTCGCTTGTTTATTAGTAGGTGTCTTCTTCAGATTTCGTTTTTTTCCTTTCACTACCGCATACTTATGCTTTATATAAGAGAAAGTAAAAATAAATTCAGGATTTATATTATTTTGAAAATAACAATGGCTTTTTACTTGTATACTACTAATTAATGTATTCATTGTTTAATTAGTTTTATTGTTCATTTTAGTCTCTAGCTGGACACATCAGCAAGTAGCAGGTGATAAAGTTTTAATAAATATTCAGATATAATCATGCATTATTTTTCTTAAAATCTTATATTCTCATATAATGTGGGTGTATATATATATATATATATATATATATATATATATATATATATATTATTCATGTATACATATTATTTTAATCATGCACAATTATTTGGTTAGGGATATAAAAATGTCGAATATTATATCAGCATTCGAAGCATATGTAAAATCGTAATTTCTCACTTTTTATATGGTATATATATATATATATTCTATATATATGTATATACATATTATTTAATTCATTGCACAATTCATTTGGTTAGGGATATAAAAATGTCGAATATTATATCAGCATTTCGAAGCATATGTAAAATCGTAATTTCTCACTTTTTATGCAAATGGTCGAAATTTAATCATATTTACTTCAAATTTTAAGCAAATGCTGGTTCCTGCAATTAATTCTTGTGCAATAAAATGCAATTGGTTGACATTCCCGTATAATAAAATGTAACTGGTAGACATTTATTATTTATTTGTTTTTTCTGGCAGGGCTCACAAAGGTGGTTGTACAGTTCAGTACCATTACGTGTAACATGTCCAGTACTCAAATGAGTTTTCATGAAGTACGGGAAATAACCCAGCGTCCGTTGACGTAATACTGTATAGTACTGACGCTTTCCGTAACAGAATAAATGAATATACTTTTGTTTTCCACAAACAGCACATCCAAGGGATTCGGCGGCCAGTAGTCCCGTGGTTCCTTTTTATTACTCAGTTTGGCTTTTTTACGTCATTTATTAACTTCTGGTAAGTAGTTTCGGTTTTTCGAAATGAATAGGAAATGTATTTCATCCTTTGCCATACTTTTTTTCATACTTTGTTTGGAAATGTATTCTATAGAATACCTAGGAAATGTGTGAAATATGTATCGTTTTATACATTGCCAGCTAGTTCTAGGCATTACAATGCCTAGGCATTCTACAGAATGCCGGATTTCAAACTTTGCCGATAACATACTGAAACAGAAGTTTGCAAACGATGAAACATGCATATAGTGGTCTGATAAAGGCATATTAATTCTCAGTTAGTTGCAAGGAATTTTAGATTCATCCAAATGTTTCCAAATACAAATGGCGATTAAAAAAATCTCGAATTGTAATAATTTTTAAAAAGCTCGAATTGTAATGATTAGAACTTTTTCAATATACTTGTCAAAATTGCAAATACACAGTATTAATGTTAAAATAAAACGTTATCGTTATTTCAAACACCTTTCTGTAAAATCATATCTGCCTTATATGCTCGAAATAAAAAATTAAGATAATTTCTCGCTTGTTCCTTAACATTTATATTAAAAGAAAATACATTTATCTAATTTTTCTTTCAAAGGAAGGCGTTTAAACATTTTTATTATCCTTCTTGTTGGACACCTTCAGTGTATTAAACATACACCGAAGGCTGTTTTATACGCCAGCCCTTTTCGGTCTAGCAGAAATCTTTCAGATATGCAGATTCACATTACGCAAGACGTCTTCTTATTGGAGCTGCTATAAAATTTAATTTGAATTCTAATCAGCAAGACTTAATGACTTTGCGATACTTGGACTGAACTTCTCACAATTTGTTTTCGAAGGACCAGTACTGGTTCCTGATTGTAACTACAAATATAACAATTTTTGGAGACACAGAAATCACCCTAGATTGTAATCAACAGGGCCAAATCAAACCCTTTCTTACACACCTCTAGCATCCTTTATTCCAGAATAAAATTCAAGTTGCCCTTTTTCCCGTTTTTTCATCTCAACCGCAAAAGGGGAGGCGACCAACAGCTGTAGGAAATCCTCTCAGCCTGCAGAGTGGGACCCCGTTTGTTTTACACCACTGCTCCGACGACAGGAAGCGAACATTGAAATCCGGGTAAAGCTCGCATTTCCTCAATCGGATGCATTTTCTGAAGAGACCCCCTTTTTGAACCCCTATTTTCACGCTTTGTATTATTTGAATGAAAAATAGGCTACAGTCTTTTCCATTTGCTTTACCAATGCACACGATTGAAATAAAAAAAGTATTTTATTTTACAGCTATGACCAATCATTTCGGTAGAACAGACAAGATGGCTAACAGTAAACAGCAGTACTTTATATTGATATAAGGATTTTTTAATATCAGTTACAGTTATAGGACCAATATGAGAATTGCACAAAACTCTACTTTAAGGACTAACTTTTGTGTCGAGATATTTTAATTTTCATGTTTTTTACTTCTGCCTACAATCTGTTAGAAGTCAAGCCACAGTTAAAAACACAGAGATTTTACAGGACTAGTGATTTATTTTTCAATTAAAAAAATTCCTCAGAGAATTCGGTAGAATTTTTTTTAACTAACGAATTTCTCACAAAAAGCATTTATAATTACTGCATTAGAAACGCGTTTTGTTATTTATGAAAATGCTTCAGATTTCCATAAAAAGTATCAACTGAATATATTTTAAATTATATGAATTAGATATGTTATTAAAAAGTAAAATAACAATTTAAATTATTAAGAGGTACGCTTCTACTCTTAAAATATGCAGCTTGCTAAGTAATTGTTAGTTGAAGAATAAATTAAATATTTTAAGTCAATATGAAAGATTTTTTTTTTTTTTTTTTTTTTTTTTTGAAGTTGGATATTTGTCAGGTCCAGAGGAAGATCAACTAAAATCTTATTTGCAGCACAATAATGACCAAGTCGTATGAATGATAAATACACGGGTATCGTAACGCAACCTTCATTAAGTCGTATGAATGGATAAATACATGGTAACGGAAAGCAACGTTGCATTACTACAATATTTTGGAAATATCCTACCATAGATAAAAAAAAGAAACATAATAATAACAATACAATAAGATCAGCAGTAGAATACAATAACATAATAACAATATAATGAGATAAGCAAAATAATACAATGCAATAAGATATGCAACAGAATTTTAAGTGCCCAAGGACCAAGACGTTGGGTTACGGAGTACCTTTGTTTAATTAAGCAATTTCTTCCACATCATCGTTAACAGATATTAAATAATTAAGAAATAGCATTAGCTAGAAACGAAAAAGAACCGTTACGGGTTTAAAGATCCAGACTTGAATATAAAGCCTTCTAACGAGAAAAGAAATCCACTACGCTTCTACCTGAGTGCCTTTAGGCAGAATGAAAATAAAATAATTGTCATCGATTTTATGCTTTAAACACAATACGCAAAATTAATTTATGTGATTTCTGCAAATAGCAAATTATTGACCTATAAAAAGAAAACCTGGTGCGTAGTGACTATATGACCCGCAATAAATTATAAACACAGCATCCTTTGATCTCTGAAGAAGCTGTGACTTTATACTGGAAATGAGATAGCTTATGAAACCTTGAGGCAGTTAGTCTCACTGCTGCAGCAATGCATTTTTCAGGTCCAGAAGGAAGAAATAAGTTGTAACTGCTCTTTTGCCAGGAGCATCGCAGACATGTTTTACAGGGTTTAGCTTTGGAGATATGGTTGACTAAGCCTCAGGTTAATATACTCACTTTCCATAAAATCATCCACCATATTAGCCTTATGTGGATGAGCGCTATCGTCCATAAAAATGACCTGAGGGCCAACTGTATCCCTGAAAAGACGAACGTATGGTACTCTATGATCTATTTTTTAATTCATGCAGCAGCCGAAGAACACCAGCATACGAGCGGTAAAAGCTGCTAAATACTGGTAGTTTGGTCGGGAGTTCGAGTTTCGGCGAACGGGCTGGCTGCATGGGCGTTTTCGCGATTTTCCCATGTGTAATGTGGCTACGAGCTAATTTCCCTTAAAAAGTCCGCCACAGGACATCCCTCCATTTCCATGTAGTGCCTAATAGCGGAGCACGTGATAAATAAAATAAAAATCATAATCATAATAATAAAATGCTTTCTTTTTCGAATGTTGGTCGACAGGTAGTGGTGGATTTTGATGTTTTTTCTTCCTTGTCATTGATTAGCTTTTGTCTCTTTGACGTATTGAAAATTTAAATCTTAAATAATGAAAAACGTACCATTCGAACTTTCGAATGCATTGTCTATCTTTTTCAAACCGTTCTTCGTGATACAAAAACAGACCGTATTGCATATTTTAGGCTCCTAAATACCCACATAATACGTTCAGATATGAGCGACGTCGCTGAAAATAGCACTTTATAAATTATTCTAGTTAGGCTCCGCAACTTTAAGAACAAAACTTTGAGCCTAAAATGATTTATGAAAACTAGTACAGTACAAAATCAAAATTCAAAAGTTAGCCATTTGTCTAACAAAATATTTTTATAGAAAGATAATGAAACTCCACGCCCAACTACTATAAAGGGAAGGCACGAGAAAAATACTGTGTTGTAAT